GAGCTCTGGGTCAGAACATTTTATTACTAGGTGGGGGTTAATCATGTTTCAAATTAAGCACTACATGTTGAGAACAGTGGGTTGTGATTCCTTTCTGTACATTTTCTTACTTGTCTGTAAATATTATTACTGACTGTGCATAATGTGTTGACACAAAAACATCTACAAGTCTGTACTAGGAGTTGTACAGTCCACCTCCCCAATTTTACACTAGTGGTTTGTCCCAACCAAACAGCCACTTTGCTGCTGGCTTGTTTGCAACTTCTGAATTGAATTCTCCTCTGAGCAGTTTTATGGTAAGTTTTTCAATATTACTTTGATCTTAAATGTGTTTATTGAAAAATAAGGGCATTGTTTTGTGCCCATAGTAATCCTGGTTATTTTGGGGCAAAACGGATATTTTTAATAATTGAGGTCATGTCTCCTTTTGTATTATTTTCATCCTACCCACCACTCCAGGCCTAAGTATGAAATCCTGTGAGATTTTGTGGGATTTGAATTTTTAAAATAGGGCGGGGCCTATTATTTGGTCTGGGGAAGGGATGCCTGAAAGGAGGAAGAGGCATTTGACGAAGACAGAAAATTGTGGATCTGAACTTTGGTGATAAATGGGACATAAATCGGAACATGACGACGTTGGATTTAGAAAGAAGTGACTGTAGTAGTATGGATTGTAGTGACGAGGAAGGAAGGAGTGGTCAGAATGAAGATAAAGAGTGGGAATTGGTGGGGAAGGGTGGAAAGAAGCAGCAAGCTGCTGAAAGAAAGAGTGTCACTGAAGACACTGATAATGAAGGAATTGAGGAAGGAAAAGAAGCACCAAAAAGACAAAACCTGAATATTATAATAAGATTTGATGAAGGAGAAGGAGTCAAGAAGATTGATCCACTTAAGCTAACAAAAGCACTTAAAACACATGTTGGGGAAATTAAACATGCTAAGATACTGAGAAACGGAAATCTTTTGATTGGATGTAATTCTGAAGGTCAGGTTGAAAAGGCGAAAAAGATTGGATGGGTGTGTAAAGTCAAAGTCAGAGCAGTTGTTAAAGTGGGTGAAAAAAGAAATAATGAAAGCAAAGGTATTATAACAGGAGTGCCGTTGAGTATTAACATGAAGTACTTAGTTGAGAATCTGAAAGAAAGAAACAAGGAAATAAAAGGAGCACGAAGAATGGGGTACAGAGAAGAGTGAAACAGAAACTGTGTTGTTGGAATTTGAAACAAAAGAAATGCCAAGGGAGGTTTTCTTTGGCTTGATAAGATTTAGTGTCAGGGAATATGTGCCTAAACCAGTCAGATGTTTCAACTATAAGGAATTTGGCCATATGCAAAAATGTGTAAAGGAAAAAGGAGATGTGCCCGATGTTCTGGAGACCATGAATATGGTAAATGTGGAGTTGGAGTTAAACCAAAGTGCTGTAGTTGTGGAGGAGAGCCTAGTGTAGCTTTTTGGGGATGCGAAGTAATGAAACTACAATCAATTATACAGAAAATGAAAGTTACGCAGAAAGTAACATATGCAGAAGCGTGTAAAGTAGTTGAGAGAGAAAAACAAAATGGGAAATCTCTAACAGGAGAAAAGCAAGTAATCTCAAGAATTATGGAAATGGTTGAAAAGAAAATTGAAGAAGAAAAAAAGAAAATGGTGACTTTTATTGCAGGAGTTACAAATGCAACATCGGACGTGAAATCAAAAACGGAAAAGATTCAGATTATTGTGAAGGCAGCATGCCATAGTTTAGTCTTAAAGAATATTCGGTGGAAAGACATAAGGGGAGAACTGTGTAGTCAGGCAAGTCAAGAAGGATAGTCTCAATCTTACAATGGAATGCGAGGAGTCTTCTGTCAAATGGGCAAGATTTTAAACAGTTTATTTATGAATTAAAAGAAAAACCTGATATAATTTGTATACAGGAAACTTGGCTGAGGCCTTTTTTGGATTTCAAATTAGATGGATATATTGCAGTTAGATATGATAGAGAAGAAGGAAATGGGGGAGGGTGTCTTTCTCTGATTAAAGAAGGTATTCCATATAAAATTATTGGAAGGAAAGGAGATTTGGAGTATGCTGCAGCTGAAATATGGATGGAAGAGAAGGTAATGTTGATTATAAATTTTTACAATCCTTGTAAAAAGCTTGAGTTAAGCAAACTTGAAGAGATAGATATGAAAGGAAATGTTAATTTTAATGCACATCATTCATTATGGGGTAGTGGAAAAGTAGATTATAATGGGAAAATTTTAGAAGAATTTCTAGATAGTAATAATCTGGTTTACTTGAAGACAAGAAGACAAGAACTGATATAAATTCAGGTAAGGAATCTGTATTAGATTTGACATTTGTTTCTAGATGTTTAGCTCCACTATGTGATTGGCAAGTTAAAAACAAGTCGTTTGGTAGTGATCACTACATTATAATCAGCAAAATAAGGATGGGCCAGGTGCATAGTAAGTGGATATTTGAGAAAGCAAATTGGGAGGAATTTTATAACTTATGTGATAGGAAAATTTTAAGTGTTCAAAATGATCAGCGTATTGAAAGTATGAACCAAATGATTAGTCAGGGTATTTTAGCTGCTGCTGAGGAGGCTATTCCAAAAACATCAGGGAAAAATAGGAGAAAATTAGTTCCATGGTGGAATGATGAATGTAGAAAAGCAGTTAGAGAAAGAAATAAAGCATTTAAATTGGTTAAAAGGTCTCATAATTTTCAACATTTAATTGACTATAAAAAGTCATAAGCAAAAGTCAGGAGAACAATAAGGAGCACAAAAAGAGAATACTGGAGAGATTTCTGTGACACAATTGGCAGTAGTACAAAACTAGGGGATGTTTGGGGGATGATCAAAAAAATGGGAGGAGATAGAAGGGAATGGAGTTATCCTATACTAAATAAAATGATGTAGTAGCTGTAACTGACAAGGAAAATGCTGATATTTTAGTAAGAACGTTTGTGGAGATACATAGTGGGAAAATTTATCAGGTAATGAAATAGAGGGAAGGGAGAGAACTAAAAAGGAAAATGATGGAATCTTAAGAAGAAAGGAGAATAATAATGATCTGATTAATCTATTGGAGAGCTGAAAAGAGCTTTGGATAGGAATAGTGCTCCAGGTAAAGATGAAGTGTGTTATATTATGCTAAGACATGTAAGTGAGGAAGTTTTAAATAAACTATTAATTTTATTCAATAAGATTTGGAAGGAGGGAAGACTGCCTTGTAAGTGGAAAGAAGCTATTGTTATTCCGTTGAAGAAACCTGGGAAAGATCATAGTAACCCAGGAAATTATAAACCAATAGCTTTAACATCTAACCTGTGTAAACTGATGGAAAGGATGGTGAATGAGAGATTGACACAATATTTGGAGTCAAAACATTTAATTGCTCCTTATCAGAGTGGTTTTCGTAGAGGGAGAGGAATAATAGATCCTATTGTATGTTTAGAGGATGATATTAGAAAAGTTCAGATTAATAAGGAAACTGTTGTTGCTGTGTTTTTTGATGTGGAAAAAGCATATGATATGTTATGGAGGGAAGGGCTAATGATTAAATTACATCAGATAGGTATAGGAGGTAATATGTTAATTGGTTATGGGATTTTTTACGGGATAGAAATATTCAAGTTAAAATAGGATATCATGTTTCGGAATTATGTAAAATAGAAAATGGAACCCCTCAAGGAACTGTGGTAAATCCAACATTATTTTCAGTTATGATTAACGACATTTTTAAAGAATTATCTATCGGTTTTGGTAAGTCACTTTTTGCTGATGATGGAGCGTTATGGAAAAGGGGAAGAAATGTGGAACATCTTATTGTTAAACTTCAGGAAGGTATAGATAAAGTGGGTAAGTGAGGGTAAAGTGGGGCTTTAAATTTTCAATTGAAAAGACAAAAGTAATGTTTTTCACAAATAAGAAAATAGGGGTTGATAAAAAGTTGTATTTATATGGGAAAGAGTTAGAAAGGGTTGATTGGTTTCGGTTTTTGGGAGTAGTTTTGGATAAGAAACTAACTTGGAGAAATCACATAGAACATATTATGGAGAAAAGTAAAAAGGTTCTAAACATTATGAGGTGTTTATCAGGATTGTCATGGGGTGCTAGTTTTGATTCCCTTAAAAATATATATGTGGCACTAATTAGATCAAGAATAGATTATAGGAGTGTGGTGTATGGATCAGCAGCTAAAACTAGGTTAAAAAAGTTAGATGTTATTCAAGTCAGAGCAATGAGAATTTGTTTAGGGGCAGTTAAATCAACGCCAATATGTGCCTTACAAGTAGAGTCAGGAGAAATGCCATTATGCATTAGAAGACAGCAGCTAATGGTCAATTACTGGATAAGTTTAAAAGGACATAAGGCAGATCACCCGGTTAAGAAATTATGAGAAAAGTGTTGGGAAAGAGGAAAGAAACAAATTGATAGCTTTGGGTGGGTTGGGGGTTGTTAATGTATATTATAAGGATTTTAGTCCAACTGTATTGTGGCCTTTGAGACCTACATGGACTTGGAAATATATTAATGTAGACAGAACACTAACAAATATTAGGAAAAGGAACACATTAGATACTTGCCAAGAATGTTATAATCAAATGCAGAATAAATATAATATTAAATTTGCAAATATAATATTTGCAAATTTATACTGATGGATCGAAAGACCCCAAAAGTGAAGCAACCAGTATAGCCGTAGTGATTCCTGAATTAAAGATTAGTATTTCAAAAAGAACATGATTATTTGAGTGTGTCACTAAGTCTTCTTAAAAGGTAGAGTCTCTGAGAACAGTTCTTCAAAATATAGTCAGTGTTTTCAGCAAAGGTGAGCTGACTGTCCAGGAATGACCCAAGGTATTTAAAATTTTCCACAGTTTCAACAGGTTGGCCATCGAGAGAAACTGGAACCACTTTAAGGTCTTGTTTAGACAATTTAATTAGTTCTACATTCTTAAGAGAATGAAAAATTTATAATAAATAATAAAGACTTTGCGGTATTCTGATTTAGTAATTATATTAGTTGTGTTACCACCCCCACGCCACTAGAGGCAGTACCAACCAAAAGATGCGACTAAGGAGCAGATTTAGAAGTACACCGAAAGCTACAGAATTTGGTAAAAACTGTGAGCTTTGCTGAAGTAATTAAAGACACAAGTTCAAATCCATGCTGAGAGTGGAACTCCTTCAATCAGTGTTTCTCCGCAGCACTGATTGGCTAAGCAATGTAACGTGATCCTCTGCAGCAAGTGATGGCAAAGCAGGGTGTGTCATCACGACTTTACACAAGTGTGTCTACCTCCGTGGCAGAGGCTCCACCGAACCCCTGAGACTGACTCATCGAACCCCTGGGGTTCGATCGAACCCAGGTTAAGAACCACTGGTTTAGATACTTAAATAGCATATTTGGCTCAACAGTGTCAGAGAATATTGCCTACTAGCATAAGCTAAGGTTAATGTTAGCCACAAAGTTTAAGAAAGTAAAACTCACCTTCATGTCAGTGAATATTTAACGAGGCGAACATCTTAACCTTTCTCCAGCTTACTTGGGCTTCGGATTGACGTAACTCGGCCAAGCCCTGCAAGTACCTACTGTAAAAGGCCATTTTCAATAGATCGGAAACAACCGAGCCGCTTTTCCCCGAACGCGGAAGCTGAGGTGCAAAGAGCCCATTGTTTTCTCGCTGCATAGTTATATGTTAATGAGGTGGGCTGCCTTCTATGTCCAGCTCTCTATTGGTGAATATACCAACACATTCTCACTCCCAACTCGTCACATATTGACGCTTGGGCAGGTACCCTCGGCGTCACATATTGACGCCGAGGGTACCCTCTTCGCGTCAATATGTGACGCGAAGGGTTCTCTCATTGAATGCTGTACCGCTCCCTAAGCGTCCGATACTGACGATCTAGGAACGAATAAGATGACGAGTCTATTCTATTTAACAAAAAAAACAAAAAAAAAAAAAAAAAACTTTATTTTCAATTTATGTGCTAGTTTGAACAGGATATTAAGAATATATACTGCAAATACATGCCAGACGTATCGGTCATAAGACTTTAATTCGGTATTTAAAAATAACTCAGTAAAATATAAAACCGGAGGGTTTTCATTGTGGTTTTTGTTAGCTTGATTTAAAAGCTTTTTTTTTTTAATTTACCAACTATTTTTGTGTATGATATAAATGATTTACATCAAATAAATTTAAGAAAATTTAAGATGCATTTTCTTTTGTGATTGCATGCAAACTGTTCTGTAAACGTTTAATATTTTTGATTGAAATAATAAAAATAAGGACGGACCCCACAAAAACCCAAGAAGAATACGATGATGTCATCCTATGCGACACTTACACTCCGGTGAGTAGAAACCTGCACCTGTCATAAATGTTTTTGTACTCTAAAACAAAAAATAACTCCAAAGTGTTACGTTATAAAGTTACTGATGGTAGTTTTAGGACTTAATGGCAGTAGGACTGTGATGCGAATGACTGAAGACACGTTTGTAACATTTTTTTTTTTTTTGCCGGAAAATATACGGTGGAAGCTAGCTAAATTAGCCTTTTTTAGGCTAATTGTACCTGTACACTGTACCTGTGCTTAATACGTTTAATTAGCCATGATAAAGTCACATAATAGTATTTATAGCCATGCTTGTTGTTGCCACTTTGTAAAATTGGAGGGTTGCTAAAACATCAGTGCCCCTGTAACAGAGTTACAAATGTACTTTTTTTTTAAATTATAATTTGTAATTCATTTTATATTGAGAATATGTTAATTTTATCTTATTTAGTTAATATTTGTTGTTTTGCCTGCGGGGGTCGCCTTTCTACACTTTGCCTCGTTTGTGTCTCCTGGGCTTCCGTAGCTCGGTCCGCCCTCATAGCATCTCTGCTTCCCCCTTTTCCCTCACTGCGTTGTTCTGCGCTGCTGTGGGTAAGTCAGGAAAGTTCACTGCAGCGATATGTTTGTTTTCTCTACGGATGTTGTTGTTTATGTTGAAGTTTTATCATATGATGTTTATTGTTTGTTAATGTGTTATTTTGCCGTTTTTACCATCATTGTGGGTTTTTATAACCAGTTTTATTATAATTTTCTTTCTTTTATTTTGGCGCGAACAACCGGTGCTAATCCAGCACAGTTCGGTTGAACATTGTTTTTATTTTCACATTTAGGCTGGAGTGCAGGGAGAGTTGAAGAGGAGGCTGATTTATTGTTTTACTCTTCTTCTCCAGGTATGTGTTTTTATTTTAAGTTATCCTTTTTATCTCTGTTTATTTAACTCTGTCTATTGTGTTGCTGTGGCCACCAGGTGGCGTTTTTCTCCTCTTGTTTTTAGTTTATGATTTTTGTGAGATTTCTTTTTTTTGTTACCGTTGATTTTTGTTGAATCGTAAAAAAAGAAAAAAAAAAGTTAGTGGACAGCGTTGTTCTGCGCTGCTGTGGGCTGGAGTGCAAGGAGATTAGAAGAGGAGGTTGATTTATTGTTTTGCTCTTCTTCTCCAGAATAAAAAAAGATTTCATCGAAACCTGATTGCCTGATTGACTTACCACCCGTTACACCCCTAGGCTGTGATGATCTTAAAATTTTGTTTATGAATCCTCTCTGAATACACTGATTGCAGCTAGGTCATTTACTTGAATTAAAAATGAACTTGCATCAGTACAGGCAAATTTCTTTCCTCCTGTCCATGTTATTTATTGCTGTTGCAAGCCAGATGAAGAGAAGTAAAGAGCTGAGAACCTGATCTTTGAACAGACAGAGACCTAGGAGCAGCCTTGGCTGCTTACTGAGGAGCATCCAATGATGACACCAGAGACTGTGATAGTCCTTGATCTTGTTCCTGTTTCTCCTCCTGTTGTCCCATCCTGTCTTTTCAGAAGAAGAAAAGACCCAGAAGCACCTCTCCAGCTGCCTCTCCTCCCACTCCGTCATCTGTCTCCCCCCATAGATCAGCCACATCTGCATTCATGTCACCTGCTGACCATGCCGTCTCCTTAAGTCAGTGAGGCCGATAAGAAGAGAAAGCGTAAGTTAAAATGTTATGGAACGATCCCTTCAAGTGTCAAGCTTGTACCCCAGATGTGCTTTCAGTTTCAGTGGATGGAAATTGGAAGTATTATGTCTATAGAGAGAACCCTTCGCGTCACATATTGATGAGAAGGGGGTACCCTCAGCGTCATTATGTGACGCCGAGGTTACCTGCCCAAGCGTCAATATGTGACGAGTTGGGAGTGAGAATGTGTTGAATATACAGGAAAGAAAACGATCCGTGTGCAGATCGATTGTGAATGCCTGCGCTGTGGTCCTCTTCGGAGAGAGCCTTATAGACCCTTTTCACAAGATGTCAAACAACATCCGTTTAACATCCTAACATCCACTATCTATACATAATCTAAACTGGACAAATTCCTTGCTGATTGATACCAGTTTGACTACGAAGGTACGTGGGGGTTTTTTTTGTTTTTTTTTCTAGCTGTTAGTTGATATGCTAGGCTAGCAATAGTAATTTGTTAGCTGGCTAACATTACGTGGCCTTTCTGTTTTGGAAATAGAACGTATTTAGGCTCTAATCTTAATCAGATTTTTATAGTATAGACTGGGGTTGCCACCCGTCATGGAAAATGCATGATCGTATTAAACCCTCCTCATTTACGCTAGTTTCACCACCCGCTCAGTAGCGACATTACCTGTAGCCACATGTCCAAAACTTGACAATTATGCCAAAAAACCCACTACTCCACCATGTCCTGAGAAGTTAAACTCCTGCTACGATCAAGACATGAGGAGGAAGATGCTTATGATTAGAAGGTTAAGTTTCTTATACTTTGTCTTCCTGTGGTTGTAGACTTGGCAGTAGAAAATTGATAACATAGGAATAATAACTTTATATCCCTTTTAACAAGTTACACTTGATTCTGCTGTGGTGCCTGTGGAAACAAAGTGCATGAAGTTTGTGCTGAGGTGGGAAAACCCTGTGGATCACATGGTGAGACTTCTGCTTCAAACTGCTCATTACAGTTTATCATTACCTCTGTCATCCACCAGTTCACTGCAGACTGGCACCTGCCAAGGACCGTACATGGATGTCTTCTTAAGTTGTAAACCCTGACTACATACTGTTGAAATAAAATGTATATGTCTTTTGTAACTACATTTTCTCTATCAATGACTTAAATTGTTAACTGTGGTAATTATGTTTGTGTAATGTAGTAACCATGTAGTGTTTAATATAATTATTAAATATATGTTTTAAAGAAACAGCCACAAACCTTATGCCTTTGGTCCACAATAGCAGCTTTAATTTATAATTTCCTCTCCTCCACATACTTTGTTGTCAGATGTGTAAAATTTACAAAAAGAAGCAATTTAAATGTAAAAGTTGCACATATGTAGATTACTCAAGAGAAGCTATTTACAATAGTTTTTTACAGAACTCTACACAACATCAATTCATTTATTAATAGATACATGTATATATATATTAACTACAGAATAGATACACACAAGGGCGTAGGAACGAGTCTGTCATTGAGGGGGACGCATATCGGAAACCTGACAGATCAGTAAATATCTTAAGCAGAAATG